ATCTTTAGTTGGATCTCTCGAAATTCACCGCAGAATGGGGGCGTTTTATTAGTATCATGATTGATAGCGGAATATGAAACCTTCGTGGCGCAAAGTCACCTGCAAAAAGCAGTCGAATTCCTCATGAATACCGCTGAACTCATGCTAGTTTTTGTCACTGTATCCACAGTTACACAGACAATGCAGTACAGTATGCAGTCGCGAACGTCAAGAGCTCATACAGATCTTATCAGGACGAACCATCAGAACCATAGCTGGTGTGGGTTGGTGTCGGCGAATCCGTAACGAGGCAGTTAGAAAGAGCGTTTTCAGTTGTGCGACGGGTACTTCCATTGAAGAACGTGTCCCGCACCAGAAGCTGCGTTGGGTGGGACATATGTTGCGAATGCCGAACCATCGTTTGACGAAGAGAGTGCTGTTTTCCATGCCCAATTCAGAGTGGCGTAAACAGAGAGGTGACCAACTCTTAACTTGGCAGGGGAGTATGAAGGAGATCACGAAACACTTGGGTACTGTCGGTGCTACTCGCCTTCCAGAATGGGGACCGCGTGATCCTCACTGTGCCTGATTGGAGACACTACAAGCTATGTCTGCCAACCGATGTCAGTGGCGTTTTTGTTGTCAGTTTCTACCCAGATTGCCTGAGTGGGTGTCTGGGGTTATAGGCACCTCGGAATGATTGTGATAAGCTAGCACTAAGTTCCTTCCCCGTCCATTTTTACTCTTTTCTTCCCCTCTCTTTCAACTAAATCATGGTTGTACGGCAGTGAAGCATCGGTGTTGAACACTGATGTCATGCTGTCGATTATGATGATGATGATATCAGGACGAAAGAGCGCATTTTTATACCCTTTCCGCCGAATCCGGGGTGAAGTCGCCGAATTGGTGTGCATTTATCAGGATTAACATCCACTATACACACACTATACACGGGCTCTGACCTCACTATGATCTCAAGACGAACCTGGAAGGATATTAGTTAAACCGCATTAAGTGCACTATTGCCACCGCTGCCCGTGGAGACCTGAAATCAGTCATAAAGCTGGACTGCTCCCTGGAGTCCAAAAGGATTCAATTTAATGGTGTCTAAATATCGCTGATTGCGCAGGCTGCTATCATCCAGGTTGAGTAGAGAGCGATGGGCTCCAATTCCCGTAGGAGCCAGTCAATGCCTTTGACAGTAAAAACGGCTGAGTTGAGTAGTTATTCATTCGAAGTAGCACCACAGCCTGACCATTTTGTGGTCGGTAGGGTTACAGGCAAACCGGAGGCCAGCTGGAACGGATAATCCACTCGTGATGCCTCACCAGTGGCTATTTCACATCGGTCTGTTTTGAGCTCACAGCGTTTCGCCTTCGATCTTTCAACGTTATGTCACATTCCCATAGTTGAGTGAAAACTGGTGCGCTGTACGAATTCTTTGGCCTGTTTCAAGAAATCGCATCAAAGTCCATGACAGAACTCCAATACGGAAGCCAAATTGGATTTCTTTTTCCTACTTCGCCTTTGGCCATCCTAGTTCCAGTCTTCTGCAACCTACGGTACCATTATTTATTCACCTCACTGAAGGTAACGGCCATTTGTTGTTGTGTGGTCATAGCTGTATTATTACATTTGAGGTAAGTTTACTATGCCGTAATACCAAGCAAACCAAGTTTCCCCACATAGCCACTGCACCTCAGCTAAGTGCGTACTAGATGCATTGCACCATGCCCTACACAGTTGACAACGTGCGCGGTAGGGATGGTAAATCTAAGTGAATAGGTACTGTTTGTCCAGGATGTTACCGGTAGATACCTTACAAATATCGTAGTTAGCTTCCGACCACCGTATACAAAGTGTCATCCCAATGTACACCTGACTGCGGTGCGTCCGTCCTAAGCATCTCATTCCTACATAACTCAGTATGTAAAAAAATCTTTATTAACTTCCGGTAGGATCCGTAGTTTTCACACAGAAACCTATTCCCTAAGCAGACGAGCTGAAGCTCTATCTTTAGATGTCCAGAAGGTAGCTAGCCATTTCACAAGGCCGAGCGCAACACAAAAGCGAAACACTGTTCCACCCAAATGGGAGTAAACGGATCCGTTCAAGCTCACACCATAATGATATACTCAAGAGGATGGCCTCAACTAAATCCGAAAGAAACCCTGTTCGAAACTATCACAAATCCATGGTTCCTGCAAGTACGTACCCACATGAACGCAACAAGCTACTCATGAGGTTGCTGAAAAGTCGACAGCCTGCGACAGGTTTCACCCTTGGGTCCAATATATGGGTGCGTTCCCCGTGTTCCCCTCAACCTTGTGTTCTACTTGAACCCATCTGCTCTCACCAGGCCTTCAGCACCAGACCCAACTGGTAATTCCGTCGAACATGCATTTACCTGGACTCCATTTGCTCTGTTAGTCCCACAAATTAGACGTGTTATACTAGTACTGTATATGGTACAATGTGTCCCCTCAACTTGTGTTCTACTTGAACCCATCTGCTCTCACCAGGCCTTCAGCACCAGACCCAACTGGTAATTCCGTCGAACATGCATTTACCTGGACTCCATTTGCTCTGTTAGTCCCACAAATTAGACGTGTTATACTAGTACTGTATATGGTACAATGTGATATGCTAACATGAGATCTCATCTGCAACACCCTTTGGGTGCTTTGCTTCCAAGCCACCCGAAGGAAGCATGGGGTTTGAGATACTACCAGTCCACCCAAGCCTAGCGAAGACCAGTCGAGATGACGAGGCTGGGTTTGAACCAAGGAACGTCCGGTCAGTAAGTTCCGTCTTAAACACTGAGTTGTCTCAAGCCTAATACTGGATGCACGTGAACTCATTCTCTAACATCCAATATATTGACCTCATGACGCCAATGGTTGGACTGCACTCTGCAACAAACTAGGTCTGCATAGTCTAGTCAGACCAGAATCCAGATACTTTTCGAAATTAAAACGATCGTGGAACTCGACAGTTTTTACGGTCAGTGTCATCCTACAAATCCTATGCTGCACTAAGAATTGTGGCAGTTTCTAATGTGCGATTTCTAGTCATGGAAGCCCTGAAAGCTATAAATATATTTCTAGCTACCTAAAAAACCTGTCCAGGTTGATCAAATCCCAACCTTCACTGCAAACGGCAACAGAAGTTACATCAAAATGAATTCCTAGGAGATGGCGAGATGGCCCAAGTGGTTAGAGCGCGAATTTACTGACCGGAAGGTCCGTGGTTCGAACCCAACCTCTGCATCTCGACTTCCCCTGTCTAGGCTTGGGCAACCTGGCAGTATCCCAGCCCTCGTGTTTCCTTCGGGTGGCATGGCAGCTAGACACCGAAAGGGTGTTACAGCTGAACACCTAGGATATTTTGGTCACACAATAGTATCAGTAATATCAGACGAGGATGTACATGCCAACAGTGCTACAATCATCTGGCTCGGGTAACAAGCTCCTCCTCAGACTCCAACGAAGATTATATGAGACCCCAAATGCAAAATTTTTACTGTACTATAGGAACAGGTCCCGACAGAATCCTAGCGGTAATTTCAACCAGTCTGGCGGTCGCAGCCAAGTTCCTGTAAAAAATTTAGCTTATCTGATCTTATGCTGGATCCCCACCAGACTGGAAACGATATCAGATCTCACTTCGTTACAAGGGTTGAACTATAGATTGCTCATCGCGCTTCTAATAACTGAGTCAGCAGGTATGTTCTCAACCGCAACCAACTGACTGGGCACTCATTCTGTATTCGGAAAGATACTTATTTTGGTACAGCTAGTGAACGGACGGACATCACAGATACATCTTACGGCAGTAAAGAACCGGCGTTGAACACTGATATCATGTTGTCGATGATGATGATGATGATGATGATGATGACAGATACATCTGCGATTATCGTAACCTTATACCTAGGTTTCGCAAAAACCTTTGTTAAAATAGGTCACGGCATGTTTTAGTTCAACTAAAATCAGCAGGGCTTTCAGGCAGTCCTTCCAAAGGCATCATGGCTATCTCAAGAATGCGACATTGGTGGTCAGTGTAGACGGAATCTTACCAACTCCCTACAGGGATCCTACACTAAGTTACAAACTACCTACCAACCACAGTAACCAGTCTTCATCATTGAGATGCCAAAGATTTTAAGCTTACGTAGATGGCATCAAGGTCTGCATCAGATCGGTGCCCATATGAAAGAATGATACTAAAATCTGGAGTGAGTGTGTCCTACAAATGGGGGCTAGGTGGTTCGGTAGTTAGAGCGCGAATTTACTCACCGAGAGGTCCGTCGTTCGAACCCGACCTCTTCATCTCGACTTCCCCTATCTAGGCTTAGGCGACGTGGCAGTATCCCAGCCCTCGTCCCACCAGGTAGAATGGCAGCTAGGCACCGAAAGGGTGTTACCTCTGAAAGACTTTTTTGAAACCGTAGTTACTGGGACCAACATACTTGTGGTATATGATTTATGACAGATAAAGTGAACTCAGCTGAACTGGATATAGGAAGCTGGGCGAATACCTTCCTTTCCAGTTGCACTGTTTGAGTGCTTCATGAGTCGGACCTAGAGGAGAACAACTGTGTGCGACTACTTCAAATAACCCACGTTCAAGGTACCTTCAGTTGGGGATGATGATACTTTTGCTGGCCTTTTGTCATGGACTTATCCTTTGTCTGCCGCTCAGGAGCGGATGCTACATATGGTGTCAGGCAATCAATTTTTGGGGACAAAAGTGTGCACAGCTGGTCTTGTTTTATCACTCAGGGGCACATATAATTAAAACATTCCATATAGTATTGCTCCTCGAGTTTAGGAGTTGGAGGCTGCATTTTTACGGACAGACAGTCACTTTTTCAGGAATCGATGCTTCTGAAAATTTAAAGTCCTTGAGATGGATACTGCGGCGCACCATCTCAGTCGTCGGCGAATCCGTGAGATAAAAATGAGATGAAAGCGAGGGGAGCAGCTTGAAAAGGTAGTGAGCAGAAGAAGCAAGGATCAGCGTAGTTCAGATAAGTCTGGAGTTATAGAATGCAGAATCTGAGCAGCCCTGTCGTAGGGATCAGCGATTCGAGTTGGAGTTAAGGACCTGGGTAGGCAAGTCAGCGACGATAAATGTTTCCGCCTTACTGGCCGCGGGCTCCGTGGAAAAAAATTAGGGAACCACTTTTTTATGGACCTTGAGATTCCGACTTTCACCTTGGGTTCATATTGAAGGATCTGCTTGAGTCGACATCCGAGAAGTTAAAAAAGGGAACACAGCATCTCATTTGGATGTTGATAATTACAGCAGATAGACTTTGTCTATTGAAGTGCTTCAAATTCGGTCCAACGGTTAGAAGTAAGAGGTGCAACAGTCAAAGACGGCGCTCAATCAAATGGACAAAAGGTATACAAAGGGACACTTAATCCCCTAGACAAATTCTGGACGGAAACAGTAGAATAATACGCAGTCTGGAGAACTAAGCTGAATCATCTCACCAGATGCAGAGATTTGGGTTTAAGCGGGTGACGGAATAGGTGGTGTGATGGGTAACAACGACCGGACGGCAATTGCAACCACATTTCGTACAATACTGACCTAATTTTGCCTGAACGAATGGTCTCAGTCCACGGTCCCATTCAGTCCTGCAAATTGGTTACCGGATGTTGTGAAATTTCTAGCTAAATATCAGGACTGTCTCAAATGAGTATTATTTAACGACTCACTTGTATACACCTGCCGACTTGATGCACTCTTCCATTGTATATCAAAGGACAATAACGGCATGCATCATTCAAGGGTTAATATAGGCCTTGATAACTTGAACTACGTCCGGTTGACACTTGAGACTACTGACTTCACAGTGCTTGCTGATAATGACCCATCCAAGCTCAAGCTATTTAGAGATCTGCTCCATTCTGTGTTGTCCCATGAGGGCCATGTATATCAGTCCAGATCGTTTCACTTCGCCTGCGCCCAAGGAACCTTGTCGCTTACAATTCACTTTTTCAGCCCACAAACCATGCATCGAAACAAAGTGGTTCCAGCTGCTACACCTTCGCTCGTCAAAGGTAAGAAGAATAAGGAAACGAAAGCCGCGCGTCGGAGACGATAGCCCAATCACTTCATTGACATCGAATGATTCTGTTTTTTTTTCGGTGTGGCAGGGTTTGGGAGCTACGCAAGACCGCCATGGGCTGCGTGGCGCGGCCAGCTATTGGTTAGTTTTATCCCGCGGTCATCATTCGGGAAGATTGTGTTTACCAATTCGAGTGAATCTAATGTCAAAGGCTTTCATGCTTTTATTGCCTGTCATAGACTGACCTCTGGGTCATCCTCGTCCGACACATGGTTAGGCGAAGAGAGCACTATTAGGCAAACAGCCATGTAGAATACCGGGCACATTACTTGATCAGCAAAACTGTGGAGTTTAACCAGGTGATCTATCGAGGGAGAATGAACTACGTCGTTGTAGAAAAAAGGGCACACATGCGGGAACAAGTCAGCTTCAATGCACTAATATCTTATTAAGGCCGAAGTGTCTAGGCTGAAGGTTTCTTATACTGACTTCATCTTACGGCCACATTGAACGAACGCCTGGAATGTGATGAAACATCATGGACCAAGAAACGCATAAAAATATCTTTGGCGATATTGATCAGTTAAAATGCTCGTTTTTTTTTTCCAAAAACTGGTATGCTATAC